AATTTACAATTCAAACCAAATAAGAAAGCCTTAAGGTAAAAAACTGTTCTCAACTCCAGGCTAAAAACTCACTGCCCCACTGAATACAGTGATAGCATATAGCATCAACCTAAACCACTGCCTTCTCCATGCTCCACCTGGCTGTCTTTCTGGTTCACAACTTCTGCTAAGAAGCCAAATTGTTTCTGTTCAGCTTGTTACATGGTAATAAGAGGCATGAGGCAGAGAAAGTCATGAGAAGGACATAAAGGAAGAAAGTGAGTAGAATAAATGAGGTCCCTAATTCAAAGTCAGGAACCATTTCCCACAACTGTACTCTTCTACCTCAGGGTGTTAATCTATTTCCTGTTCCTGTCCTTTTGGAAATTCATCATTCCTGCTTTTTATTTGTGATCATTTTTCCAACTTTTATCATGTACATTTTGAATTCTAACTTATGTTCTCAATCAGCCCAAAGATGCAAAAATCCTTTTCCTGAAGAAAATCACAGTACTTAGCAAAAGTGCCACCAGAGGTTTACAAAGTAGCCTGAATTAAATATTCACAAGTTATAAAGTTGCCACAATCGGCAAAAACCATATTATTTCCTATGCTTTAGAATTACAAACAGCCTCAAGAAAATATCTAAGAATAGATTTTCATGTTAGTTTTGTCTCTAATTACTGTGACTTCTAGAAAATTTTATAACTTCTTTATGCCCTGTTTAATGAGGGGGCTAGACTGTATTATTGGTATTTTCAGATATCGAATGCAATGATTTGACTAGACACTCAGCCCAACATGTGTGCCCAAAGTAATGCAGTTTGTTTCTTTTCATTTCGAAGTTATTTCATAAACTTAAGCAATAGAACAGAAATGGTAAACCTGTATGTAAGAAAAAGCAAACGTGTATGTGAAACATCAAGTAAGAGTTCAGACACAATCTTTTCTCAGCACGTGACATACTTTTTCAGTTCTCTCTGCAACATTCCTCCAGGTGTAGAAAGTCTTTACTATGTTATGGATATTTTCTGGAGCTGGCAATGTCCCCGACTTCAGTTGTGAAATAGCTTTTTCCAACCCTTCACACAAAGATTTTACTGAAGGCTCACATAAAATAGTAAGATTTTCTGGAAGCACCTCAGGAATTCCACCAACCTTAGTACTTACAACCTTAAAAAGAAAGAACACGTGTTCTACCATAATCATACATTAGGAAGATGAACAAAACAAAGTTAAGAAATTATTATGAATGTATCTCATTATTTTTCAAAATACAAATACAGAAATCCCAACAATATATGCCTTCAAAGTTTTTTACCTGTAAACCACAACTGGCTGCTTCCAAGATCGCCATGCAGAATGCTTCAGTAAGGGAGGTATTAAGAAAAATGTGTCCTTGAATTAAGACATCTCTAACATCCTTGTGTTCTAAAGGTCCCAAAAGATGCACCCTGATTTTTTAAATGAGAGGGGAAGAATGAAGGAAGAGAAAAACCATGCTACAAAAGAAATTTATAAGCCGAGTCTGCTATTTGTATTACACTTAGATTCTTACTGCTGCTAATGTTTTCTACCTCTGAAGATGAGTATCGTGAAACACTGATCTAACAGAAATAGCCTTATAAAGCTATTGGGTTAAAACTCATATAGCCAACATATTTCTAACTTTTGTTACACATATCAAATTCCATCTTTTCCCAAACTAGTTTGCATGTAATGAAAATATTAATACATTTTGATGATTAAGTATTAAAATATCAATTCTAAACAGGAAAATTAACCTTTTAAAATTGATGCTTCACACATACGCAGCTCATTTGTTACATTGTTATTGAGGAAGAAATCTGTCCAAATCTGTATGTGCAGGGCCATTTACATGATTTGAGCCATGCTATTTAAATTACAACACAGTATGGCTTGGAAATCTGCAAACCCTTCCAATCAAAGCAGTTGTTTTTTTGTGGCTTCTATGGTGCCTCCAACAACTGCCCCTCAAAGTCAAATAATATTGGGCTAATGAAAAAAAAATAAAATTGTGGACTCTTTAACTAGGTTTCCTATTTTATATAAATTTTTTTAAAAAACAGGCCTTGCATTACATTTTTATATCAATTACACGTAGGAGAAGCAGCACACCTAAGGCAGGCATGTAGTCAAAATTGAATATAGATAATTGATATTTTCTCACTTAAGACAACATAGAATCCATCAATACCTGTCATGTAGCTGGTATCTTTCCCGAACTTCTTCCAAAACGATTCTCTTTGGTCCTTCTCCTCCAATTATGAAATTTAAATCTGGATATTTCTGACAGAGTTCAGGTATTATACCACTAAGCAAATCAGTTCCTGAAAATATAAAATTGAATGGAGATATTAACATTTAAACTTTTTTTAAAAATTCATCGGAACTACTGAGAATCCACTCACTTTGAAAAGTATTAGCTGTGCATTCCTTAAAGGAGAGAAACTAACTCTCTTAAACCTTTCCCAGGAGGGTGGAATTGTTCACAAACTGCCAGTGGTTCCCCAAAAGTTGCAGTTCTTGAAGAGATAGATCTCAACATGCATTGTTACCTTCCACGCACCCAAAATATGGACAATTCTGTTCCATTTCAATAGACTACTCTTTGTTACTCACTTGTATGTATACATAACCTACTTCTAAAAAAGGTATTTTTGGTGGCTAAGGTTTGAGTTACCCTTCTCCAGAGCAGGCAGCTGACTGAAGATCTAGGTCTTGTCCCAGCTTTTTTACGAACAAGCCCTTTGATCACGGGAAGTTTCCTGATCTACAAAATGAAAAGACCTATGTACCTAAAGTCTCTTTCAGCTATAAAATTCCATCAGTCTATGATTCTACTTTCTGCCGTAGGAAAGGGCTAAGCAACAAAGTCTGTTGCCTCCACTTTGTTCAAAATGCAGTTTATACAGAGAATTTTGCAGTGAACACTATGGTATTAGCAAAATTTAAAACAACAGTCCATCCAAACAAGCTATATCCCACTTTCCTGGAATAGGAGTAAGTGAAGGTAGCAGGACCTCAACTGTCAGATCATTATAGTCCATGGAACAAAAGGATGCATCTTTGTTTCTTTTTTAAAAAATGACTTTCTTATAATATATAAATACAATCTCAGGTAATATAAAGCAATAAAGTAAATCATGCTCTACTAGTCTGAAAAAGTTGTGGCTATCCAAAGTGACAGCAATGTTGACGCTATTTGGGAATTTAGTTCATTAACAATTACAAATCATACACATTCAAAAGTAAACGCAAAATGATCCACTTAGAGCTAAGTTTATTAATTTGAAAAATGCATACACACACAAGAATTGCATTTCTTACATCAATCTTCCCCAAAACAGGCATATCAATTATAAAATAGATGGTGGGGGAAATTATATTATAGGGTCATTTATATTAAACAATGCAAAGTAAGAATCATTAAGTAAACTCTGCTGGTATTTTCAAAATATGTTTGTGTATGTCAAAAATAAATTCACATACAACTTTTCTGAATTATGAAGTCTTCTCATTAAAACCTTAGCTATCTTTGTGTCAAGTCAATTACCAAATTCATTGATTGAATTTCTACATAAACCAGAAGGTAAATTAACGACTTAACATTTAGCCGCCTACAATTCCTTCTTTTCTTTTATTTTCTTTCTTTCCCCTCTCTTCCTCTTTCTCTCCTTTCTCACACAAGGTTAAAAGCCCATTCTTCAAACAAACAAAAAAACAACACAAGCAAATAATAATTGCTGATAATAGCTACCTTAACTGAATGTTTACCATGTCAGGCGACATATTTTAAATGCATTATGTCCTTTAATCCTGACAATCACCTTTTAAGAAATGGAACTAATTAATACTGTCAATGATCTATAAATTTTATTCTAAGAATAAAGGGTTTTTCCTCCACTATAAAAAAATTATTCTGACACCTCTAAGAACAGTTTAACACAATGGAACATACAGAGACTTTCGATCGCCATATCACACAAAATGAACAACGAAAATTCCTAATTCAAACTTTTAAAGCTCGGTCTAACAACATTTTAAAGAACCTTCTGATCTACATAACTAAGATAACAGTGGCTAGGCAGGCAAGGGTAGAGGAACAGGAGACCTTAAGGCAAGAAGAGCAGGACTCATGTTTGTCATCTCTGTTACTTGCTGTGTAACCTGGATGAGTTACTTCCCCTCTCTGAGACTCAGTTTCTTTGTTACATGTACATAACATGTACCCTACAGTTGTTGGGAGGGTCAAGTGAGGTACTATACCATGCACAGGCTTCCTCAACTACAGAATACAAACGTGAGTTGTGCTTATCCCTGCAGCGGGAAGTGGGGCATGCCTGCACATGCACAGAGTGCTGGCAAACCCAGACTGGGAGCAAAACAGGCTGGAGAGAAGGCAGCTCAGGAAGAAGCCAGCCAAAAAACCTGGGCAAGGAGAATTCGGATTTATTCTCTCACTTAATACATTCCAGTGGGCTTTTGACATCTGGTCCAATGAACACCTCCTGAGGATATTAATTTGTAAATAAGGAATAGACCATTAATACAGGGCTACAGATGTGGCCATTCCTTACCAGAGTGTTATTTTTTGCAGAGGGCCTGGCATATGGAGAGGGTTCAACAAATATCAACATTGAGTTATTGAATTGAGAACAGGAAAGGCCATACCTTCACTCCATTGATATTTAGCTCAGCTGGTTAAAATACCACATTAGTGAAGTAAAGGTAACAGGTTTAATCTTCGTATGAGTAGTTAATGCTGCTGATCTTCATGTATGCATCATACCCTTTCTTAGCTAGCTGACAGGTATGCTATTTGATTAAAAAATAAATTAGGCACATTTTCTAAGTTACAACAAACATATCACCAATGTCCCAAGAGGGATTCAGAATACAAAATGCTGGTCCATTCACATCTCCCTGATTAAAGAATGAAAGCACATCATTCATTGCCTTCACCCTAGAAAATGCAGTTGAGTAGAACTTTTCTCACCAACCTCCACTTAAACGAACTGCTGGGTCAGCCAAGGCTCTCTGTCCCAAAAGTAAAGTATACCGACCAAGGCCCATGTCTAGATTTTAGGCCACTCCCTAGTACACTGGTACTGAGCGTCATGCTTACCAAGAGTCAGTTGCATAAGTTCACAAACGTGTTTGATGCCAGCTGTACTTGCCACTCTATTGGGTAATTTAATTAAATAACGCATAAACTGGTAAAATGAGTTTCTATGAAAACTAAGCTAAACAGTTTGAAAAGTCCAATAAAGGAAAGTTATAGGAAAAAGGTCTTGTCAGATGAGGGATGTCCTAAACCACTGTATAACATTGAAAACAAAACTCCAGAAGCACATTGCTTCATATGCTTGCAGGTTCTCACCACACTTAAAAGAAACCCAAAGTGACAATGGTAGATTATGCTTTGTGAAAGCTATTATGTAAGATAATGCAGCTGAAATCAGTGGACCAGTACTTAAAGCCTACAGCCCTACATCAAACTACTGGCAACTCAGTGTATTAATATTTTGAGTTAAATTCAAATATTTAAGGGGGTATATATTATTTTTAATGATTCCCGACTTTAAATGGAATTTTTGATTACTGGACAGGTTTTCAAATAGCATCTAGAAGACTATTTATATGTTTCTAATAACCAGACTGTTTCAGACATTTAGTAAACAAGCCTCCACAAATTCAACTGCAGTGTCCACTAAGTCCTGCAGAGGCACTAAAGAAATCCTCCTTGATAGTGGTGGACATATATCAAATACAAACTGGGCTAACAGTTTATAGGAACTATCACTGAACCCTCAGGAGGTTCCCATTGTCGTCTAAATTACACAAATGAAAAAACTGAGACTTAGAGATGTTAAGTAACTTGTCCTTGATCATACAACAAGGATAGAGCCACAATGTGGCCCTGCGCCATCTAATCCCCTTTCTTCATCACTTACCTGCCAATATGTTATTAATGTCTTATATATGATTAAATGAAACAAACAAGGTACAAAACAGTAAAGTGCAGAACAAGCACATTGATTTTTCAGCATATGTATGTATGCATAAAAAAAAAAGGAAAGCTACAGATCAAAACATTCATTAGGGTCATCTCTGAATAATACACTTACAGCTGATTATCATTTTCATCTTTGAGCTTTTCTTAGTTTTCAAAGTATCTGCAATGAAAACACATTACTTTCGCAACCGGAAAGAAAAGGCCATGTGGTGGGCTCTGTCCTTTTCTTCTTACCACATGTACAGGGCTGTTTTAATTTTTAAAAAGACCTGATCGATTAAACAGCATCAGGTTATTTTTATTTTTTAGTAACCATTAAAACATCAAAGGTTGGGGGACAGCATTCACAACTCTAAAAATTTCTCTTCCAATATAAACCAATATTAGAACTTTCCTTGCTATATTTAATGAAGTTGTCATTAAACCATAAACAAAATGAAAAGCCAAACAATCATTACATACAAGTATTCAATAGCTTTCTACAATGAAAAAAATCTGCAATTATAGCTATCATTTCATTACCTTTTCTGTAAACAAGTCTGCTGACAACAACAATAGTTATTATACTATCATGCCTTCTAAATGGGTCTGGAGTGAAGTCAGTAGGATCTACAGCATTAGGAATGACGGACACTATTTCAGGATTCAGTGCTGCTCTTAATACAGTATTTTCCTTACTAGTATAAGAGACACAAATGATGTGGTTTGTGTCACAAAGAGACACAGTTAGAAGCTTGTTTGTAAGCACCGAGCTGACATCAGCAAATCCAAAAAGGGAATGGTCCGTGAAGACTGTCTGAAGCCCCATTGTCTTGGCATGGAAGAGAGCATCATGGGCCATGGCAGAAAAAGAACTATGTGAATGGATTATTGTGACTCTCTCCCGAACAAATATGTACCTGAGCAATGGTAGACTGTGAAAGAGGGTCGTGGCTGTAGACTGGTTGTACATGACTTTCAGAGGCAAGTAATAGACTTTGAGGCCATTAGTGAGGTAACGGATGCCTTTTCGATTTCCGTAAGCATGGGTGACAATTACAACCTTATGCCCTCTTTCAATCAGGCACTGAGAGAGCTGGTAAATGTGGCTCTCCACACCTCCCATATTTGGGTAGAAAAAGTCAGATACCATGCATATATTATGGGTACGGGTTCTATGTGTGGGAAGGCTTCCAGGGCTAACCCGAGAGAGTATAGCTGAGGGAGGCTGGCCGGGTTCATCTCCTCTATAGGCCATGCTGAGATGATTTAGGCATCAGTTCTTAAAGCAACCCAGTTAAGATGTGTCCTCTATTACCTGAAAAAGAAAGTAAAACAGGATCTCAGCTCGGAGACAAAACACATTTCATATCCCAAATCCAGATATAAATACTGTTTTCATGTTAATGTAAATTTGTTAGCTTTTCCCTTAGAAATAAAAACAAAGCATATAATGAATTTACTAATTCGACAACATTTACTTGCTTAGCATTTGCTGTGTGCCATACAACAAAACTAGATTCTGCAATGTCTTAATTTTGCTCTAAAAATACTGCTACGACACACAATTTTAAATAAGTTTGTTACACCACAGTACATAATGGTTTGCCATGGAAACAACCTAGTTCTTTCCAGTAATTAAATATGTATACACACATATGCACATATATATTTCTCCTCACTTTTATCACTTTACCAGCTTCTACTTATTAAATGCCCACTATACATCAGCCACTACATGCTGAGTTTTCTATATCTTATTGCAGCCTCACCAAAACCCTATGACTCCATCTTATAAATTCAAAGTCTAAAGCTTAAAGAGGTTAAGGAATTTGTCCACGATTATTCAGTGTTAGGGTGAACCCAGAGGTTCTAAGTAGCTACTCAGAGGTAACTACTTAGAGGTAGAACAATGTGGCATTCTGTTTCATTAGTAGTCATGCCTCCTGGTATTTATGCCCCTGTACAGTCCCTCCCCTGGATTTGGACCTGGTTTAACCCATAGGACAGGGTGGAAATTATGTGCAAATTTTCGGCCTTAGCCTGAAAAAGGTGCAGTGGTTTCCACCTGTACACTCTTGGATATCCTAAGCCAACATGTAAGAAGTCCAGCTACCGTGCTAGAGGGACAATAGGAGAGATAATATGGAGAGAGCCAGAGGCACAGCCATCCCCATGTTCTCAGCTGGGCCCAGTCTCTAGCCAACTTGCCTGCTAAATGCAGCCTCCCTAGTGACCACTGGCAAGACTGGCAGAAGAACCATCCAGCTGAGTCTGACTGCAGAATCATAAAAAATAACAGCCATGAAATAATGAAATATCACGAAATAATAAATGGCTCTTGTTTTATACCACTAAGTTTTGAAGTGGCTTGATATACAATAACAGATAACTAAAACAGGCCTAGATTCAAACTTAGTTATACTGGTCCACTGCCTGTTTTTGTAAATAAAAGTATTATAGGAATACAGGCTTGCCCATTTATTCATGTGAATGGCTACTTCTGTGCTACAATAGCACAGTAGCTGTGACAGGGGCCATATGACTTACAGAGCCCAAAATATTTACCATCTGGCCCTTAAGTTTCCCAACCCCTTGCTCTAGAGCTTAGCCACTGATTCAATTAATCTCATAAAGTTCTCCTAGTATTAGCTTTATAGTTTATACTAAAATATAACTGGAGCTGGAACTTTTTGAGAGCACATTTTTCAAATGACACCCAGAGCACATGCTGTGGACAATCCACATTTTCTCCTTCCATATTGTCAAAGACAGCAATAATCTAACTGCTTCCTTCACTTTTTTCTTAACCTTTCATTCAGTTATGTAGGCCTTTCTTCCATGAATGCCCCTCCCTTCAGTGTGGAGTCTGAAAAGCTCAACTAGAGATAGGCTGTATCTGAGGCTACTTTCTACATCTAAAGTGGGAAATGTTTATCTCAGGGGTCCCCTAAAGCCACATCAACATGAAATGCCCACTCAATGTGGTACTATAATAGATTCTTAGACTTCTAAAGCTAAAAAGTGTCTTGGAGATCTAGTGAAAATCTCCCTTAGCTTTACATATGAGATTTCCAAGGCTCCAGAAACTCAACTATACAATGGGAAGCCATCCTAAAGCTGAGTTTCAGATTTCACCTGTAAACTCAAAAAACGCAACTTAACTGTGTGTGCAAAGTCTTAACTATCTACCGTCTCTAATAAATTCATCTACATTTTAAATATATTCTCGGAAAGACTCCATAATATTTTATTGAACTGAATTTACTAATTAAGATTCAATATTACCAGATATTGAAATTTCTCAAGTTTGTACTTTTAGGTTACTTACCTAACATTTTCTTACTGTGGTGTCACCTAAACTGGAACTTCCAGTTCTATACAGTTTTAAAAGATGAATGATACTGAAAACAGTGATCAATGAACCAAATGAAATCATTTAAAATTTTGTCATTAGCCTGCAATGTTCTGTGATTTGTCTGCCCACTTCTACAAGGATATTACTCCTAACATCTTTATTGTGTAAAAGCTCAATATACCACACAAACACAATATCTTGGATTTCAAAACTGAAGAGGAACTTGGAGATCTAGTGAATACCTCACTTTACAAATGAAATGCCAGACGAGTTGAGCGATTTGTACAAGGACCCCACCCAGCCACTTTCTAAGTAGCAACCGCTACATGACCGGAAATTCTCGACCATGGCCAACGAGCCCCAGGCAGTTATTAGCAGTAGAGGTTTCTGAAGAGCCTTAGGCGGACCAGGCAGGGGTTGTAGGGTCAAGAGGATGGTACTTCCACCGAGCCCCTGGGCACTGCCCAAGCTTCACTCCCTGAGAGGTCGCTGAGGAACGCTAGGGCCAAGGAGGAGATGCCCCCGCTCAGTCGGCGACCCCACGGAGGTCAAGCAGGGTCTGGTGAGGCGCAAAGAGAGGAGGAAAAACAGCAACAGAGAGGGCAGAGGTCTGAGGCCCGGGGTCCCGGAGCCTCCAGTCCCTCGCCCCACCAGCAGAACCGGCTCCAACACGGCCGCCCTCAACGCACCCTCCGCACTGCTCTACTCCGGAAACCCTCCGACCCGACTTCCGGGCTTTGACCCGGGTCGGCTTCACCCCTCCCTCGCCCGCCACGCCCCAACCGGGACAGAACAATCACATCCAGAAGCAGCCGAGAGTGCGGAAGAAGAGAGACCAAGCGCTCACTTACCGGCGAGTTCCATGGCCGCCTGTGTCCGGACCTCCCGCGGCTGTAGCTGGAGTCCCGCCCCGCCTCCCCGAAGCACCAATCGGAGGCGGCCGCGCCCCAGTGCCGCGTCCCCGAACCAGCCAATCACAAAGAGGCGCTGGAGCCACGTCTAAGAGCGGCGCTCAGTCGTCCCCGCCCTTTAAACGTGGGCCGCAACGTCAGTGCGCACTTGCGCCAGCCTCTGTCTCCTGGACGCTGCAGTCTATTGGGCGGGTTCTCTGGTTGCCTGGTTACGGCGTCTCTTTTCTGGAGGCCTGTTCTCTCCCTGATTGCTTCCGATTGGAGAGATTTTGGGTGTGAAGGCTACAGTAAGCGTGGCTCATAGTGGCGTTTTGTTTGTGATCGTTTGTGCCACAGCAGAACTGTCCCGGTTCTTGCCATTCTGGTAGGGTTGCTAGATGTGGCAAATAAAAATACACAAATAAAAAGTTAAAGCAAATAAAAATATGCATTTTGAATTTCAGATAAACAACAAACAATTTCTAGTGTATGCCCAAAATGTTGGGGACTTCACTAAATTATTCGTCGTTTATCTGAAATTCAAATTTAACTAGACGTGTCAGATTTTATCTGGAAACTCTACACTCTAGTTGGCGGGGGGGAGGAATCTGAGGTCCGATCTGAAATACCAAGTCCCACTCAGACTGGTTCAACTAGCTTGTGGTGCTTGGCCTGGGAGCTAAAGAATCAGTGAGTCTGATGATCATCTATCCCTCACGCTTAGGACTTGGAGTCCCCCAGCCATGCCATGCGTGCACTTTCGAGAACAAATTCCTTTCTGAGTACCGTCAGCCTGAAGTAAGTTTATTCGTCCCTGAAAATTTCACCTCCTTTCTGATGCCTGCCCCAAGCCTCCAGAGAGAATGAAATACTCCCATTATTGTACTTTGATAGTACTTTGGCCATATGTTGGTATAGCATTTATCAAATAATATTCAAGTCGTTTTCCTGACTGCAGTCTGCCTTCCTCCTTACCTTGATCCTTGATGACTTTTGTCTTCTTGGGATTTCATATGGACTTCTTTCTGAAAACTAGTAATTTCATTTGCTTATTAAATGTCTTCCTTCCCTACTAGATAGTAAGCTGATGCAGGGTCTGAACTTGGTAATGAGCATTGAATAAGTTTTAGTTAAAATAAGTTAACTTCTTATACCCAATGCCAGCATATTCCCTGACACATATTAGATACCCAATAAAATGTATTGAAAGTATTTCATGGCATGTACCTCATAAAAATTACAGTGCAATAGCATCATTCAAAGAGCATTTTGGTTGTGGGATTTGAAGTGTGTTAATGAGTTAACTTTAATGAGTAAGGCTCAAGTAGCAATAGATACTCTGCCCTGTGTTAATATTGACGAAACATCAGAGAATAATGGTGATGCAGATGGAAGAACTTAAGCTTAATAATCTGAAGTTGGTATCACAGATAACAGCAACGCTACCAGATAGGTGCAGCATTGCTTTGGTCTCCTTTTCATTTTCTAATAGGTTTTAAGGCAAAGAGTGGAGATAGAAATCCTGGAAGGTATACATGAGGGTTAAGCCTCATTTACTGAGCCCCTAGTTTGCCCCTGCCATAGTTCTGATCGCAATATACATTTGAAATTCTACTATGAATCCTGTAAGATCCTGATACTAATACTTCTTCAAAAGAGTGATCTCTTTTCAAAATAGAACAAATATTTCCTATCTTTATTATCAGGCATTTACTGAGTGTCTGCTCTGTAAAAGGCCTTGTGGGGAATACAAGGAATGTTAAAAATAGTCCCTGTGTTTTAACAGCTTTTTATCTTTCCTAGCTTTTCCTATACATTTTACCGATAGTAAAAGGAAATCCACTTTTCTTAAATGGTTCTTTGTGTTTCAAATATAGACTAGGCTGACCTTTATAAATAGGTATTAATAGAGGCACACTGTTGCTGAGTCTCTGTATGGGAGGGGGTTGAAGAGCCTGCAGGCTGTTCCAACAAAGTCTGAAAACATTGAAAGTTCACACTCCAGCCTCTGTCCCGGGCACTGAGCATTAAAATGTAAATAAATCATGACTCTCTCAAGGGTTCACAATCTCACATGTGTACATGACTTCCTTTATAGTCAGTTAAATATTAAGCAAAGTTCTCCATTTAAGGCTATTTTCTAAAAGTCAAAGTTGTAGTAGCAGGATTAAGATATCAATCTTGGGATGATTCTGATTATAGTGTCCTGCCTAAATATATGACCTCAAGGTATCACTTGAGAGAATTTTCTTAGAAACCACTAATATTAGACTAAAATACTTACATGTACTATATTCTTATTACACTTAATAAAACATGAAAGCAATCAGTACCAGTTGTAGTATTAGATGACCTAAGATGGAGAAGATATAAATGTGGACATCATCTTCCCTTGAAATCAGCTCTTTGCAAATTCATATGTAATTTAGCTCCCTTGGATAATTTTGGAGTTGGAGGCAACAAATATGTCTTGAGAGTCTGATATCTGTGCGCAAGGCACAATACAGAGAAAATCTGGCATGAGATTTACCCCCAAGGAACCAAGATGGAGTCATAGCATAGGTAAATATCTTTGATAAGAGATAGGAAGTGATAAGTGCTACAAGAGAAATACAAGAAAAATACTGGGAGTTCGAAGGGAAAGAGTGTTTCTGGTTGCCAGCATTTAGCCAAAAGTGTAAGTAGAGAGTGTCCACGCAACTCCTGGGAGCAAGATCATTCCAAGAACAATGTACAGAGACAGGTGCTGACTGTCCAGTGAACACTGTGGTGTAATTACACAGGGAAAAAGAAGGGGAAAGAGTACATACAGGAAAAGAATGGCATTTTCAGTGAAGGTTGGAGCAAACTGGTAAAGGATCTTACTAAGGAAAATGGACTTGATGGTGAGCCAGAACATCCAGCCAAGATCACAATTTCAATTAATATTTTGAGACTCCTCATTCCTCGTTCTGTTTCAAATAGAAAAATAAGAGATATAATATAAATGGGAAAATTAAATGTTTTAGCTATGATTTAAACCAAAAGAAAATAAACATTTCTACGTATCAGAAACAGAACCAAAGTGCAAAGTAGTGATCAGGACCAAAGCCACATAGGTCCTGGACTTTGTATGTGGCAGTAGGAAGACATGAACCAGGGTTCAGCCTCTGTAGAATAATAGAGACTAACAGGGCTCAATGTGTGGATAGAGAGAGGAAGCAGCTTTATGAGAGACTGTTACATCGGTGGCCTTTAATAAACCACTTTCCAGTATTGGCGACCAGTGTCTAATTCCCTCCCATGTTGACTCTGGGTTTGGCTGTGTGACTTGCTTGGCCAATGGGATGTCAGTAAATGAGATGCCACAGATGCTTAATAAGTATTCATGGACTGGAGCACATCCTGTTGGAACCTTTCCTCTTGAAAGCCAATGGCCATGCTGTGAAGAAACTCAGGCAAGGTATAGAATGACGGCAAGCCACATGGAGAGAGGCCCTGAAGAATGAGAGGTCATCTGGGGCATTCCAACAGTAGATGGGTTTCCAACTTAATATGAGTACTGCTGGAGTGACTTCAGCTTATACTATATGGAACAAAAGAACCACCTAGCTGATCCTAGTCAACCCACAGAATTATGAGAAATAATAAATTGTTGTCTCAAGACACCAAGTTTTAGGATGGTTTGTTACACAGCAATAGATAGCTCAACCAAGCCTCATTGCTTAACCATCTCCCTCACTTGTGAATAGAGATTGAAAGAATTTGTTGCCAAAAGTTGCTGCCTGTCTGGGTATATAACCTTGCTAAGAGAACAGAGCCAAGCAAGATGATCTGTATTATACCACTACCACTGCTAGTCTGGGAAATATAAGCAAACACACACACACACACACACACACACACACACACACAGAGGGAGTGGGAGGGAGCTCTCTCACTCAAAATTAGTTTGTAAACCAAAATTTCAAAACATTGGAAGAGACATAATACTAAGATAGAAAACATACAAATGTAACAATGAAAAAATAATTCCCTCCAGATGCAATTAAAAATGGCAACTTTTTAAAACAATAAGAATTTGGAAATAAAAGTATGCAGAAATGAAACAAACACCAATGGATATAGAAGAATCAATTAGAAATCTTGAACATAAAGAGTTACTAGCATTTTAAAAACTCATTATGTTGATGAATTTTAGGTTAGACACACTTGAAACAAAAATTAATGTGGTAGAAAATAGTACTGGGCAGTCACTTCATTTCGGTGCGGGACGTAGAGACAAAATGTAAAACCATAATCAAAGCCTTGTCTTAGGGAGATTGTTCTAATAGCTGGAGAAAGGGAGTAAGAGAGTGGCATGGCTGGAGAAGAAATCAGTTAGGCTGCTTCAGTAGTCCCTTGCAATTCAAAGCAGGACCTGCAGCTCAGCAGCGGCAACTGGGAGCTGGTCAGAAATGCAGATTTTCAGGCTCCGCTCCAGACCTACTGAACCAGAATCTGCATTTTAACAAGATTCTGCATGATTAGTATGCACATTACAGCCTAAGAAACGTGGCTCTAGACCCGAGGCAATGAGGACCTGATTTATTCTGGTGGCAATGAAAACCACAGGAGACTGGGATTTACTTGATCAATGTCTTCCTCCTTGTTTTACCCTTTTATTTTGAAGATCATCCTCCAGTAGGTTTCTGAGGAATAGTGCACAAGACATGGGGGGCGGGGGGGGGTTTCCTAAGACCCTGCATGTCTGAAAATGTATTTTTTATCCCTTCAATTTTACTGATAGTCTGGGTGCCAAATATTAGAATGGAAATTATTTTCTTTCAGAATTTTAGCAAAATTGCTCTAGCCTTGTAGCTTTCAGTATTGCTATTGAGAAATCTAATGTCTGGCCCTTTGGATGAAATTACTATAATTTTTTTTTTTACTCTAGAAGCTCCTACAATTATCTCTTAGTCTCCTGTGTCCTGAAATTTCATAATTTTGTTCCCTGGTATATTTTCAACTTTTGGGCTGGGGACTCAGAGAGCCTT